AAAAGCACTGTTAGGAGAGAGACCAGAACAATATAAAACCGTATCGTCACCATAAAGATGAAATGTTGCACGAGGCACATTTACATTAAGACTATTTATATATATAATAAACAAAAGTGTTCCCAGCACTGAATAAATGCATAATGAGTGATATGGTGAAAAAACATTACCTGTTTTTAAAAGGTGTTCAACCCAGCTACTGCCTGAACTCCCAAAGCTCCTTACAAAGACAGCTCAGTGGTTACTGTTGCTGCACAGCAAGAAGGTTCTGGGTTCAATTCCCAGGCTGGACCTGGGTCTTTCTGTGTGGAGTTTGTTTACGTGGGTTTTCTCCAGGTACTCCAGTTTCCTCCTACAGTTCAAAAACGTGCATGTTAGGCTGCCAGGCCTCTCTTACTATAGATCGGTGACCTTAATGCAGTCCTTCTCAAATAGTGGGGCGCGACCCCCTGGGGGGGCCCGGAGCAATGCCGGGGGGGCGCATGTGACCCGGGGAACATTTTGCGGCAGGGATTAGTTGTTTTTGTTTTTTTTGTTTGTTTTTTCCACCATTCTCATTTTGTCAGGGTGTGTTCGCGTTCGGCAATTGTTTGCTAAAATCCAGCAACTCTCAGTCTGACTAATAATAAAGTTATGAACAAATGTGTCTGTCTTGTCGTTTGCGGGGCCGTGCTTGAACCGTGTCGCTGTGACACCTCAGCTGGTGACGCTCTGGACGCTTGTCACCCACAGCACGCACGAGACAGAGAATAAAGTCAAAGCGAGAGCGTTACCTGCTCCTCTTCCTCTTTTACTTTAACAATTTATTTTAGTTTGTCAAAGCACAATTTTTGTGTTTTTAATACAGAAGTAATGTTTAATAAATGTTAGGACTCTATTCTTTGCTAACAAAATATATTTTGTCATTAAACAACTTGTCAGGTTCTTGTGAGCGCGCCGCAGGCAAATTGATGCACTTTAAGTCTTTTCTGTTACAGACTATAAAACAATGTTAATAATCTTTGTTGTAAGTTGATCTATATTTCTTTATTTAATTGATGTTAATAAGGGTACAATGTTATGCAGAGGCGTATTTATAACATTTTTTAGACAAATTATACTATTTACAGTCGCGGCGGAGAGTTGGGGGGGCGCAAAATGTTTACTTCTTCCTGGGTGGGCGTAACCGAAAATAATTGAGAAGCACTGGGTTAATGGAATTTGCCTGGTTAAAGTACAGACTTTTAAATAAAGGTTAATGACTAAAGTACAGACAGCATCAGTGTTGTAAATATCTGGTAGGAGAGAGCTCCAGTGAGCGGGTGCAGAGCAGCTGAACGCTTTACCTCCCATAGAAACCAGATGGACTGCTGGAACAGAGAGGTGAATAGATGAAGATGGTCCAAGACTGTGAGAAGGTATATTGGTGTGAATAAGTTCAAACAGGTATGAAGGAGATAGATTATGCATGGCTCTAAAGATGAGAAGCAAACTTTTGACTTGAATGTGGTAAATAATGAGAAATCGATTCAATTGATATCACGCGAACGCTAAGATTGCTCCGCCCACATGGAAATGTAACCCAGGGTGAGCTAACCTCCAACAAACAAACAAACAAACAACATGGCTGTAGTGGTGGAGGAAGAGAAGCTCACGGCACTACCTGAAGCATTTAGTGAAGCATGTTTACCTCATCAGCCAACATGAAGGCAAAGAAGACAGGAAACAAACTATTACAAAGGTACAAACTTGAAATAGTTTCTGCAGAAGATGTTTTCATGGTGCACAGCGACACAGGGCAATAATTTACAGTGAAATTCAGTATGTAAGAGTAAATTTAATATTACACAACCTAATAAACACTTTGTACAAAATCTGTTTAGTGTTAACTGATTATAACAAACAAAGACTAAACTTATGCAACCAGAAGTTACAACATATATCTACATTTAAAACACAAAACGAAACACACCTAGCTTTAAACATTAACCTTTAATTTAACCGTTAAGCATACAATGTAATTATGACAGAAATGGAGGATTTATCTCTAGTTACCTTCGTACAGATGTGGTACTTCCTGTTTATCACCGTTTTATTCAGCTGCTCATGAGGTTGGCCTTGGAGCTTTATCATCTTTTACATTTTTCTAAACTTTATTTAGATTTTTTATATGGAATAAACTGCATTACATCCACTAAACATTCAGAGTAACGCTGTCTGAATTACATGTTCTACACTAACAACGTTTAACCGTTTTTTCCTGATGATTTTTCATGAAATCTCTGACTGCAAAGCATTCATAAAGCAAAACCCTGACAATGTTGTTGGAGGAAAAGGGGGCGCACTTCCTGCAGGTAAGGGGTGTTTAACTTGAGGACAAATTGCAATCATTGATTGGTCAGTTGCTGATGAGCCTGTTGGATTGATTGATTGACAGATGGAGTTGTGTCAGTTCTTGAAGGACACGAGTCATGAGGTTAACTAATGTCTCATCCACTACAGTGCACTAGAAACTTGTCATGTGCTTTAGTAAAAGTAGTGTATTACACATGGTCAGTGGAAATAGACCACAATGCATTGTGGCCTTAGCTAACAGAACAGGCTAATCTAGACTAAGAGAGCTAACGCCCACAGCTTATTGGGATTTTCAGACTTGCAAACCAGACGTGTCTAAAATGTCTCCTCTTCTGTTTGAGCTAAGGAGCTGAGGAATTCTAAGAAAATGTTTTTAAACCTTATAATAAAACATTTACATTTAAATATGACTTATATATGTTGTAGTTCACAATGTAAAGCATGTCAAATGTTGTGTGGCTTGTTTTACTCCATGCTACAACATTAAAATCAGCTGTTCAGTCCAGAAATATTGTAGGTGATGACTCATAGTTTTTTTTTATCGGGGCTCTTGTATAGTTTTCAGTCTGTGTTTGTGTAAAAAGAGAGAATACAACAAAAAGTGTGACGATGATGTTTGGGGATGATTCATCGGCACTCTAAATAAACAGAAACCAGGACTGTTTGCTCACAACGTTCATGTCTACAGGGCAGATTTTAAACCTGGTGATTCAGACATTTTGTGTCGACATGAGTAATCAGTGCTCCACATGTGTGGGGGCTCTCCAGCAGTGTCCCCCTGCCTTCATCCTCTCCTCAGGACTCTTTTTATTCCACAGCAGCCAGGCCTCAAATCACACGTCCCCTCTCAGCCTGACGCTCCGTCGGTATGTTTGCACATCTTTGAAAACCAACAGCGTGCTTTAATTAATTGTCCAGCCTTCCTCAGAAACAATGTCCTAATTCTGCCATTTAGCGCGAGCGTATCATAGTTTGTTGTTATCTCCGCAGCCAGATTTCTGTAAATAGTCATATTAAAAACTTTAATCTCTTCAATGGAAAATGAAGTGCAGCTGAAAAGCCTGTCATGTGCTGAGATAAATTTTATCTGAGCTAAAACCTTCACTCTCTTCTTTCACACCCCCCTCCTCCTCCTCCACTCCCTCGTTCACTGACTTAATGAAAATGTTCAGAAGATTTCAGAGAAATGCCTAATCCCAAAACACAACAATCTAATAACGCTGAGGACCTGTTTCTGTATCGTAGCTGACAACAGGACTTTAGGAAACACTTTTTACACACTGAGGTAAAACTTTGCAAGTGCTTTAACAAGTTGAGTGAAAACAATGAATTAAAATCATACAGCTACTTAAATTGCATGGATGACACTTAAGGCTCCCACATACTCAGGCGTGGTTCACTCTGCAGAAGTCCGCGTGTACCGGATTAGACTCAACGCAGTCTCGAAGCAGACACCCATATGGCATGTCTGCGCAAAGATCAATTTTTACGACCACGTATGTGTACTCTGTGTCGCACAATAAACTGCCTGGTGACGGACTGTTTTGTATTAAATTCCCCTTCTTCATCCCTGGTCTGGTTTAATGGTCTTTTCTTTTGTTGTTTTTTCCAAGAGGCAAGTGATCTCTTCCTCCTCCGTTGATGCCATGATTGAAATAGTCAGAAATGATGGAATTTGTCACGAAAGAATTAAAATCAGGTCCGGCATGGCTGCGGGTGGGTCTGGAGATTTCCTGGTGGGCCGCTCTGATGTGTGGGCTGCAGGGCCAGCGCTCCCTGTTCTTTTGGTTTTTTAGAACTTTTTATTAACAACATAAACACAGAACACCACTGCTGCTGCTCCTGGGCTGCCAGCTGCCTCTACCCAGGGCTGCCAGTAGAGCTCTTTTGTGTGTGTGTGTGTGTGTGTGTGTGTGACCTGTCAATCAATCCAGTAGGCGTGTCAGCAAATGACCAATCGGCGACCTCAATTTGTCCCGAAGGTAAACGCCCCTTGCCTGCAGAGCTGGGCTGCAGCCCATCAGGGTGTACGCTTGAGTATGAAGTCTCAACTGTCTCTGGACAGTGTCCGTGAAGCTCACAGAGTACACACAGTACGCCCGAGTATGTGGGAGCCTTTAGTTACTACCACATCACGTTCACTCTCTGTAAATTTGTTGAAAAATAATGTTTCTATTGGCTAATGTTGATTAGCTGAATTGTGTTCCCTTCCACTGTTTATGACATATTTTGCTAACCAGACAAACACACACAAGCATTATCACCTTTTTGTGTCTTTAGCACTTAGCAGTGTTGCTACAACTCCTACTGTTGCTTCTTCAAACTTCTACTAAAAAGGAGTTTAAGCACATTACTCTTTACATTCAACTGAGTTCATACATGCAGGAGTTTGACTTTACCTCTTACCTGTTCTACACTGATGGATCAGGCCATTAAAATAAGTTTTAGATGATCTGTATGCTGCACCTATGAATGTCCTTTGTTGCAATGCATACAACCGGACTTTTTAAACTAAAATTACACCCTTTCTACACTGAACAGGTCTCTCTTGCAAATGAGTCCCTGCAGCTCAATGGGATTAACCTGTATAAATAAAGGTTGAATGAATGAACAAAGCTCTCCTGTCTTACAATAAACATTTAAACATCTGTCTCCACTTTGTCCAGGTGGCCAGCTGTGGTGCACCACCACCAAGAACATGATGGAAGGCGAAGAGCTGGTGGCGTTTGCGGTGGACTTCGACTCCCGTCTGCAGGCGGTGAACCACATGTCTCTGAGTGAGGGCATGTACCCAGCCCGGCTGCTGGACAGCATCCAGCTCCTGCCGCAGCAGGCCGCCATGGCGTCCATCCTTCCCACCGCCATTGTCAACAGTGAGTGTTTGCAGAACTGGAGTGCTCTGTTTAGATGTCCATGCATGAGTCTTCCATCCTGCCGGTTCACAGCCTGCACTCAGTCACCTGCTTAACAAGGAGCGTTGTTTCCGGCGGGCGTAGATTAACCCAGATGAGTCTCTGTGCTGGAGATAAGAGCCATTGACCTTCAAGTTTTGGGTTCATATAAACACACTGAGGCTCAAACTAAAGTGTTAATTGCAAAATACTTGCCTCATGCAAATAGTGTGTTTGTTTACTTAGCGAGGGCTATCTGGGTTCAGCTCGACAGGGAGGCTTCTGTAAGCAGATGGTCCAGTGTTCTTGTTTGCCCTTGAGAAAGGGTACAAACCCAGTGGTAGCGGCGCAGAGATAGGCTGCAGCTGAGGATTTGGCGGAAAAGCCTTTTAATGCAGGCTTTAAGAGTCGCAACTGGAAGAGAGGAGTGTTTGTGTGTGCACGCTGATGTGCAAGCTTTTTATCTTTCTACTTACATATGAAAGCACCGTTTGGATCCTGATAGCGTGTCCCCTTTGTCCCTTTCTGTCTCTCTTCAGAGGACATCTTCCCCTGCAAGGCGTGTGGAATCTGGTTTCGGAGCGAGAGGAACCTGCAGGCCCATCTCATGTACTACTGCAGCGGGCGGCAGAGGGAACCTGAGACAGTGGTGGAGGACAGTGACAACGGACTCCACCAAACTCCCAGTATTTGCCCCTTCCCTCAGTGCAACAAGACCTTCTCTGGAGCCCGGGCCCTGGAAATGCATTTAAGCACCTCACACAGTGGTGAGTGACACAATCAGGAAATAAAAGCACTATTTATTTTGTTTTTTTTAGCATAAAATGTTTTCTTTAAACAATTCTGGCTTTTTGCAGATGGTTATTTTGAATTTTAAATGAAAATGCTTTTGAAAAACATAACAAAGACGCATATGTAAAAATGACTGTCATATCTTTAGAGAAATATACATATCCTACTGTCAGCTTGCAAAGTTGACAGTTTATCCTTGAGAAGAAAAAAAACAAGTGGATGGGAATAAGCTTGGCATAATGCTCGAGTGTTTGATGGCTTCTACAGTTAACTCCAAAGGAGAAGAGGGAGTCGAGATTCTGAGCATTTCTTCCTTTTATCTCCCTCACAGGTGTCAAAATGGAAGAGAGCCTCCCTCCTGGCACCAGCTTGAAATGCACAATCTGTAACTACACGGCAGATTCTCTTATTACATTCCAGCATCACATCATGTCTCACCTGTCACAGGCGGCCTTCAGATGCAATCACTGCCATATCAGCTTCCAGAGCCACAGGGAACTCTTACAGCATCAGGACTTACATGGGCACGGCAGCAAACTTCACAGGGAAGGCGACGGCACTGAACACTCCCCCAGGGGGCCCGAGGAGAGCCTCCAGCAGCAGCAGCAGCAGGCCCGTGCCGAGCTGGCCAGCAGGAAGGATGCTCTGCTGGGAAGTCCCAAAGGGGCCCTCAGCAAGGAGACCAGCACAGACGGAGAGGCTGACAAGGCTGAGAAGAAGCCCCTGCTGACTGCTCAGAAGGGAGAGGCCCACCCAGGCAGCAAAGCCAGTTTTTCCTACACTAGGATCAAATCTGAGCCCTCCAGCCCCCGTCTGGCCTCCTCCCCGGTGCAGAATAACATGCCTACATTTCCCATGGGCCCCTTCTTGTCTCAGTTTGCCTTCTCCCAAGACATTTCTGTAGTCCCACAGGCTTCAGAGATTCTGGCGAAAATGTCAGAGCTAGTTCATCGGAGGCTGCGCCACGGAGGAAATAACTACCCCCCTGTCATCTACAGTCCTCTGATGCCCAAAGGGGCCACCTGTTTTGAATGCAATATCACCTTCAGCAACCTGGACAACTATTTAGTCCATAAAAAGCACTACTGTAACAGCCGCTGGCAGCACATGGCAAAGTCTCCTGACTTCTCTGCGCTCTCAGATAAGGTTTCTGAAGCTGTGAGCCCTAACAGTGGACACAGTTCTGTCAACCTGCTGGCTGGCTGCCACCCAACAGAGGCTGACGCCCATCTCATGCAGTCTGCTTGCCTGAACTCCAATGTGCTGGATATGATCAATGCTGGGGCTAAAGGGCCAGATAAGGACCTAGTAGGACAGGTGAAGAAGGTCTCCACCCCAACTGGAGCTGAAGACAGGCTCAATGGGAAGCAGATGGAGGGGAAAAGCCCCAGCACAGGGTTAGTGGAAAGTGATAACGATCCCAACAAGACAACTTGTGAAGCCTGTAACATTACCTTCAGCCGCCATGAGACTTACATGGTCCACAAGCAGTACTACTGTGCCACTCGCCACGATCCCCCCATGAAACGCATGTCCACCAACAAGGTTCCCTCTATGCAGCGAACCATGAGAACCCGCAAGCGCAGGAAGATGTATGAAATGTGTCTCCCCGATCAGGACCACCAAAGGCCCCCTTTGGCTCAGCCGGGTTTTCTTGGAGTTCCTCCTTTAAACCCTTGTACATCTCAAGAAGCTGTAGAAAACCTAGCTGACCGCTTCCACCCCCGCTGTGATATCTTCCCTGGGATGGTACCCAAACACCTGGAGGCCTCTCTGACTGTCACTAAACCTATCCTGGCTCCTAAATGCAGCACTGTGGAGCAGCAGGAGCTGGACGCACCCATTGATCTCAGCAAAAAATGTTCACCAGTCTCTGACAAGACATGTAGCTCTCCCAAAAGACTTTTAGACTATCACGAATGTGCAGTGTGCAAGATAAGTTTTAACAAGGTGGAGAACTACCTAGCACACAAACAGAACTTTTGTCCTGCAACAGCAGCCGCTGCAGCTGCTGCTGCTCAACAACAGCATCCACAGCAGCAGCAGCACAGTGAGAGCAGCACCCTGGAGCCCAGCATGTTCCCAGATGTGAAGAGCGAAGGCAATAACAGTCCTGATGATGGCTACGATAAGAGCCCTGGCAAATGTGAGAAGAATGGGAATGGGAAGGTGATGGTGCAGAATGGAGGCATGTTCCCCCCTCACCTGGGGTCTGTGCCAGGACTTAAGCCTTTTCCTGAGCCCCAGCTCATCCCATCAAAAGATGAGAACAAGAATATGTTTCTGCCTCACTGCCTTTATCCTGGAGCAATAAAAAAGGTGAAAGGTCCCGAGCAAATATCACCGTATTTTGGGATAAAGCCAACCGATTATGTGACTGGGGGGCCTGTGATGCAGGGAGAAACTGGAGAACAGGAGCAGAGTGTTAACGGAGGAGAGACAGGAGCAGCTAGGGAGCAGGCGTCGCAGCCAGCTGCTAACGGTTGCCCCCACCCCGGCAAGGACCCCCTTCCTCTCCTGCCCAAGAACCGAGGCATGGTCATTGTTAACGGGGGGCACAAGCCAGAGGAGCGTTCAGGCACAGCCCCACCGCAGCAGGAGAACCAGCCACTGACAGAGAGCCAGCCCTCCAACACTTCACCCACATGGGCCACCGAAAACCAGAGCGACTCCAATGAGAACATGTCCCCCCCCTCAAAGTCTCCTGCCGAGGAGGCGGCACCTGCTGCTAACAAAGGCGTGAACGGCTCTGGAAGTGGCAAATACTGCCGCCTCTGTGACATCCAGTTCAACAACTTATCAAACTTTATTACCCATAAGAAGTTTTACTGTTCGTCACATGCTGCAGAGCACGTGAAGTAAGCTGAGAAGAAGAAAAGACTTGCTCTTCTTCTGCTTTCCAGACGTTTCCTTCAGACTTTTACTCCTTTTTCTCCTTTGTTTTGGTACACTGTTGTGTCTGGAATAGTGCATCCTGCAGTGCAGAACGCTGCTTGTGGACAATCAAGAGAAGCTTCTTCTTTCATCGTTTTAAGACTTCAAATGCAAAACCATTGGTTTAAAAAAAGAGAAACGAATCAAGAATAATATTGGTGCCACGTTCACATTAATTTATTTTACAATCAGTATTAATAGGAGTAGTGACCTTAATTTAAAATCAAAAGGAAATTTATATCAGAGTTGTTTGTAATGTTATTGTATAATCATTCTTGTGTAGCACACATATTGTTTACACTGTATTGTAGGCTCAAAGAAACGATAAACAATACAAAAACGAGATGCATTTTAGACACAAAAATAGCTACTGAGGCACTTGTGTATTCTTATTTGCTGTTCCAGTTTCTGTATGCTCAAAATGTCTCCTGCAGATTCCTAATGACTTGTTCGCCTTACAAATCACCGTTTAGGAGTGATTTCCAGGCCTGCACCTCACATTTTGGCATATATCTACATGGCTTTGCATACATATGTGGCTGTTTGTCCCCGTCCTTTTTGTTCAACTCAGATGTGGATGTTTTCATGAGGAAGACTACATTCTTGTATAGTACTCGTATTTCTGTTTGATGATACACTTTGTTCTCCCTTTTTGAAATTTGCTCTCAATGCAATACTTTGTAAATGAGGTAACATTACTGAAAGCAGTATTATGAAATGGGGACTGTGCATATAATTATTTGTAACCCCGCAGGGAGAGGGAAAAAAAAGGCTGTACAAGAATTACATTTATTGCTGATGAACAAGCTGGGTGGGAGGTCAGTGGGGGTACTGATGTAAAATGATCATTCCAATGTCCTGATTATGGGAGAAAATGTTTCTTAAACGTTGTTGCTATGCATGTATATGGATGGAATTAAATTCCAGATCTGTTGGAAATTTTTATTTTAATGTGGTGTCATAATTAAACTTAAATCCTCAGGATGAACCAGTGGTCTCCATTCTTTATTTTCCTGTACACACATTAGCATACGGACAGATTTGCATGTATTATTAGCGTTTTCAGCGTGTTGTCAATACTAAACAGGTTAAAGAAAGAAAAACAGGTTACTGAAATATCTTGAATCTGACACAAAAGGAAAAAAATACTAAAAATTTAATGGAGAAAATAATGAAAATCAGACGTTGCTTTTGAGTTCTGGTTCAGCAGAATTATAAAAATATAGAAAAGTTTCGACAAAAAGGATGGTACTCTTAACTAAATATATTGAACTACCTTTTGAAGAAATCACTAAAATTAAGCAGTTGTAACTCTGGGTGGCACGGTGGCGCAGTTCGCTGTTGCCTCTCAGCAAGAAGGTCGCCAGATCGAATCCCAGCCAGGGGGCAGTCTGGGTGGAGTTTGCATGTTCTCTCCGTGCATGTCTGGGTTTTCTCCGGTTACTCCAGTTTCCTCCCACAGACCAAAAACATGCACGTTAGACTGATTGGTAACTCTAAATTGGTCCTAGGTGTGAGTGACAGAGTGAATGGTTGTTTGTCTCTGTGTCCCCACGATGGACTGTACTGGTTCAGGGTGTCCCCCGCCTCTCGCACAGTGACTGCTGGACATGGGCGCCAGTGACCCAAAAAGGAAGAAGCATGTAAAAGATAATGGATGTAACTCTCTGAGACTTCTGCACTTATTAATTTTTGACAACTGCTCCAGCCGTCTCAGGTTTGAAGTTTCCTGCTCCAGACTGCAGGTCTCTTCTTCCATCGATGTTCAACAAGATCAGGGCTCTTCAGAACAGTCCAACGTTTGGTCATTCTCGGATGTTTAGCTCTATTTCAGGTTATTATCCTGCTGGAGAACACGACTTGTGACCGAGACCAAGCATTTAGTCACTGAGCAGCACATTTCGCTAATTTTCATCGATCAAGACGTTCTGTGTGAGACGCAGCAGAGCAGCTCCAGAACATCACTGCACCTCCTCCGTGTTTCACTGCAGGCAGCTCTTTTATGCTTCAGTTTGGGGTCAGTGAACACAGAGCTGATGAGACTTGACAAAAAACTCCAGCGTTGTCTCCTTACAGTCTCACGTTCTCATGGTTTGCTTTCTTCTGCCATGTTTTTCAGCTCCACTTTGACTCAAACCTAAACAGATGCTGCGACTGACACTGATGTCCTGGAGTTTCCCTCTAATCTCTAATTTAAGTTGTTCTCAGTACACACAAGTCATCAAAATTCAAAGGCTTCATTTAAATAAAAATAACAAAAGTCACTGCCTTTTATTTAAGAAGATAAATCACAACTATCCAATCTAGTAAAAAAAAAAAAAGATGTTTACTAACAATTTACTAGGAATATTAAGCTTTATTATTTGTGTGATATTGCAAATATTAATTTTACATAAACATTGCAAGAAATCACTTTGGCTGCACATTTCAGTATTTATATTTAATCACGGGGGTTTATACTAAATGTTTTCTTTCTCCTCTTCTTTTTCTTTGTCCTAATCTATAAAACCACCAAAAGATGTCAACAACTTATTGTAACTCTTTAATTTCATACTGTAACAAATTACATTTTATAAATAGAGTATTTCTCCAACACAGTAAAGACTTCTGTTTTTTTTTTTTGTTTTGTTTTAATAGTTTAAGTTTATTTTGTGGCTTTTGTGGGAGAGCTTTGACTGTAAAAGCTACAAACCCCTAATTTAGACAATAAGCACAAAAATGTTGCAAAAATTATTAAATTTGTTTTTTGAAATTATAATTTGCACAATTTCAAAACAGAATTCTGTGTTTGGTTGTAACTCAAATACATGCAAGTAACAATAAAAACTGATGCAATGAAGCAAAAAGAATCTGAAGTACTTGAACTTTTAGCGCCAACATGGAAGAATATTAAGACAGAACTGAATGAGATAAAAGTATTGAGTTGAGCGCTGATGTGTCAGAGTGTGTGTGTGTGTGTGTGTGTGTGTGGCCTTTACCTTGATAAGAAATAATGTATTAATTTTTGGCACTGGCCAATCTGGCAAAGAGCCTGAAATAACAACTTGAAAGATAAGATGAATCTAAGACAGAAAATGTTTCATCACACGGAGTACCCCCCAGTTATCTTCAATTAAAAAGCTTCCAATGAAGCTGAGCGGCAAAAAATAACGTGTTCTGAAATTGACTTTCTGATGAACCTCAGCAGACGTGTCGACAATCTCCACCAACTGCTGCGCAGAAAGGTAAAAAGATAAGCGGAATATTTGATTGAATATTTAAAACGTATGTGATTATTACTCGTCCCGAGTCTGGGGCGTCCCTCCTTCCTGGCCACGGGTCACTCGCTCTGCTGTCTGGCTTGTCGCTGGTTTACCAGCTTCCACAGGTGCTGGCTGATGGCAGATGGCTTCTTGTAGATCATTCGACGGTCCGCTCCTTTTATGTGAATGTGATTGGCTGATGGGTAGGATTCCTTCAGGAACCTCTTTTGATGTTCAGCTACCATCTGGTGCAGGGAGAATATTATTTACAACGTTACTGGAGCATTGTTCAGGTACGTTCTGCTGCAGGATGAAGTAAACACTCACTTGGTTTAGATGCTCTGGTATTTGCTCATCAAAGGAATCCCCAGTGATCATGCTCACTGAAATCTTGCTGGAGAGGGGTTTAAACTTTGTTATATCCCTTTTAAAACACAAAACATATTTATTTAGAGCAAAAAAAAATGTGACTATTAAAAAAAAGCTGACACCTGCACAAAACTGTATCGACATGTTTTTTATACCTTACTTGAGCTGCACTTTCATTCATGAAGTAATGCTCGTCTACAGCGCTGCTTTGGTGGGCCGGGTTACACAGGAAGTACTTCTATTGAGGCAGAGACAAAAACAAATTTAAAATCACCGTATTTATTTGTGTATACACTAAGATTATAAGAAAAATCCTACACTACAAGTACACTAACGACGAAGGATTGAAATAGTGAATGTAGTTTTCAAGATGAGTGTTTTTCTGGACTGGAACTGAACAGGGAATCCAAGTGAACTTTAATGTTTTTGCTGCAAGATAAGAAAGTGGGTAAGAGTTGGACAGTGTAGGAAGAAAAGGTAGTTTTTGTTTTTCTTCATGTCTGAGGTAGCACGGAGTGATGGATACTGCCGAGCAGAGAATAATTTTTATTCACAACCAGACGCCCACAGCGGATCCAGGGAGTGACCAGTGGTGCCCTTGGCCACCACAGATTACTCTTTGGTCACCCCAGTTATTTGAGGAAACTACAGTTAAGCAGAAAAAGACTAGAAAGCATAGTCTCCTCAAATGATTAGCATGGCCAGTTTCCTTACAAATACAAATGTATCCATGTACTCAGATAATTAATAAAATTCAATGGCACTGACCCAGTAATATTCTACTGTGTTCACTGTGGTAGTTAAGAGTGATCTAAATCTTTCCAGTGTGAAGTAGTGTCTCTGTCTCCAAGTGACCATTTGACATTAGAAGTTATTTTGTATAATTTTAAAATGGCTTCTATTTAACTATTCAAGCCAAAACCTGGAACGCAAAGCTGAAATGATGTTTTAGCTCGTCTCTGAGTTTGTTTGTGTCTCACAGTGGAGAGCACAGATAATCAAAATGTTAGCTTCATAACCAAATACACATAAATATCACTAAATAAAAAAATAGCTTTGCTAACACTAAACCGCTAAACAGATTTTTAAACAATTAGCAGAATCTAAAGCTAATACGCTAACTTTTATCACACGCCGCGTCACTGACACTGTAAGACTTTCTGTAATGTGACGACATTGTCAGTGAGCACAACTCAAAACGTTTCATAAATAAGTAAAGTGTCCATGTCCCGTTCAAACGAGAGCTTTCAGAAATTAATCCGGTCCATCAGAACCAAAGAGGTAGAGCAGAAATCTCCTGGTTGAAGTAGAGTGATGCATTCAAAGTGTGTTGGACGACCCTCGAGTCTCATTTACTATAATGAATTAACTCACTTTAGTGATCCTCTTTGTGTTAAATACATTTATAAACTAACTACAAAGTTGCTGTGCATTATCATCAATATTCTCAGTAATAAATATGTTGGTATTAAAGTAAGGATGTGTGAAATGTGAGAGAGTCACATCCCAGAGACGGTGTGAGCATTGCAAAGGATAGGCACCACTCATCAGCAGAATAATACCATATAGTGAAGCATGGTGGTGGCAGCATCATGCTATGGGGATCTAACAAGGTTAAGCCAGGTCCTCTGGACAGATTCTTCTTTATTGAAACATTTTGTCTTTTATGTAAAAGACTTCTTGAGTCTGATGCTATGGAGATGTGTTTCATCAGCAGGAACTTCCAGACTAGTCAGGATGGAGGGAAAGATGAACGCAGCAATGAACAGAGACATCCTGGATGAAGACCTGCTCCAGAGAGCTCTGGACCTCAGACTGAGGAGACGCTTCATTTTTCAGCAGAACAAAGACCCAAAGCACATGGACAAGATCTCAAAGGAGAGGCTTCAGGACCACTCTGTGAAGGTCCTGGAGTGGCCAAGCCAGAGTCCAGACTTGAATCTGATTGAACATCTCTGGAGATGTCTGAAAATGGCTGCACAGACGTCTCCCACCTGATGGAGCTTGAGAAGTACTGCAAAGAAGAACGGGACAAACTGCCTAAAGATACTGTAGGTCAGCTTGAAGCATCATATTCAAAAGACTGGAGGCTGGAACTGCTGCCAAAGGTGGATCAAAGTATTAAGTGAAGGCTGTGAATACTTAATACATGTGATTTATTAGTTTTATATTTTTAATAAATTTGGAAAAATCTCAAAATAATATTTTTTCACATTGTCATAACGGGGTATTATGTGTAGAATTTTTAGGAAAGAGAATAATTTAATACAATTTGGAATAAGGCTGTAAGAACAAAATGTAGAAAAGGTGAAGTACTCTGAATAATTTACTGATGCACTGTATATATATATATATATATATATATATATATATATATATATATATATATATATATATATACAGTGAAGATCTCGCACAATGAATGTGTAACAACGAAGGGTGTGTTGAGAAGAATGCTCAACCACTAACAGCAAAATCATGAGGGAGTGGTGGCACAGAGGAGGATAGAGAAGGTAAGCTTGTGATTAGGAAGTTGTAGGTTCGAACCCCCAGAGCAGCACAAAAATTTGGGTGGGGAAGAGGAGGAACCCACATCTTCCTCCACCCTCATTTACTCCACTGAGAGCCCTTGAGCAAGGCCCAGCTGCTCCTTAGATGGCATTCAGCGAGTTTTAGTAAAATCCATCAACTGGTTCATGAACTACTTTTCCAACATGCACTCTGTTAAAACTTTAATTACATGTGCACAACAGAGTTTTACACAGCAAAGGAAAGCCTTCTTCGCTGCATGCAGCAGAAACACTGATATCACATGAAATCTGACTGACTGAGACGCTCGGAGCCGGGAGAGTTCACCACGCCACAGAAAACAGAAATGAGCAGATTTCCTTTTAACTGTATCCATCATCCACATGTAATGAGTCCGGGCAGCTTTGGTGCCACTGACATTGTAACAAACAATTCAGCTCCAGCTCAATTAGGCAGCGCTTACAGAACATGCCCTTGAGAAATGGACTGCATGCTCTGCTGGACCTCTGACTGAGTGAGCGCGCGCGTGTGTACATTACAACCTTCACGAGCCTGTCGACAAAACCCCGCTTTTTCCCCCCGTCCTTGTGGGATTCAAGCACAATGATGTTCTTATCTCCTTGGCAACAACTGTAATAGTTGAAAAGCTGAAATGGGTCCCTCATCACCGCTGCCATCAAATCGTGGGTGGTTGGCAGCAGAGAACAAAACGTCTTCACGAACAGTTAACATTCTTCCCCGAGCAAACGTCATCGCATCAAACAAGAAGAAACAAAAAAAAAAAGATGGATGAGAGAAAAATGTCACAGAAAGCTAATAAGGTTAAAATATTTAATTAAAAATAGAAGGAAAAAAATGCTCGTTTGAAAATAAACTAAAAATATGTTGAAGATGTTCGGAAACAATTACCTAAAATTCAACATCAGCTTTGTTCTATAAAGCCCAATAATAATGTTCTGGGACTGTTTTTTTTGTTGTAACAATCTAAACTGACAGTTTGATCATTTGGGTCACCATGGTAACCACGTGTCTCCCACTTCCTGACAGCACTCTAAACAAGATATGCAGACATAAACACAAGACTAGAAATTACAACTCAGTCATTATGCAAAAACTACAGCATGGATTGTACAAAAAGAGGCGTCTGGTCGTCACGTTTGTTTTTTGTTACTGCTTGAATTTTGAGCATGTTAACAAAAAATTGTGAGAACATTTTCTCTCACAATTATGACAGTCATTGTGGAGCATCTCCAACTCAGTTCCAACCTTTATATTTTGTCACAGGTGTCTTCAAATCATCTCAAGGGTGCTGGCGCTGCATTTTGACACCTGCACACGAGCTCTCCTCTGACAGAAAACCCAGTAAAACAATGATAGATAACCAAAAAACAATGGTTCAGATCTACCCATCTTCATTTCAAAAGTGTATTCCAGCAGATTAAATCATAAATGTGCTGCCAATGCAGGTACAATGAGAGAAGGAAACAATGTGCACAGCCTGGAAAACAGTTTAGCAAAAAAGTAAGCCACAATTTTTGAAAATGATTTATGCAAAACTCAGACGCACAATTCGCTGCTCATTGGGTTGAAAAAACTAAGAATTCAGTTGGATTGAATGTGAAAATGTGTGTACTTTCTTGTAATATTAGGTTTAGGTCAGGTTTGACTCCAGATAGTGTCTTCACCAGTCTCAGACCAGTGAGATACTACCTCGTTCCACACTGGTTTGTCGTCATATTTATTATCTGCATCGTTTTTATGTCTATATTTTTGATTTACTTCATTTTGTATGTTGCTTCGTGTGTTGTCTGTTGTTCTGTCTGTACAGCACTTTGGTTGGCCTTGTAGCTGTTTTAAGTGCTCTATAAATAAAATGGTATGGTACGGTATGGTATGGTATGGTATGGTATGGTATGGTATGGTATGGTATGGTAGCTTAAATCCTATAGCTGTAAGAAACACGCTGGGTGAAAGAAGACAAACACGGCTACATTTTGATGTATAAACTGTATAAGTGATAAATTTGAGGATTAAAGGAGAGCTCTAAAATTAAGCTTTAACTTAATCCAAATTAAGGATTAACAGAGTACAATATTAGCAACAACAACACTAATAAAAATCACACTACCGTAAATTGAACATTTTGTAGTAAAATTTCCAAACATGATCAAACCTCAACAGTGACTGTATAAAACCTTTCCAGGTATTTAAATGCAGGTTCGGTCTTGTGAAGCTCAGATTCAGGAGACCTGTTTAATCTTTGAATAATGTTTCTACTGTGAAGTCGCTCTGAGCTACAGAACAGGAACATAACTCCCCAAATTCCATTTTTAGGTATGAGATTTTGCAGTTTTTTTGTGAATTTCATCAACACTATACTACTAAAACTCATAGCATACTGTTCTCAGTCTAAACATATCAACTGACTGTCTTTGTTTTTTGGTATGCAGTTTTCCAGAGCTGTGGGAGCACAGGCGTCAGTTATGCGATGTTGATGTCAGTCAGAGTCAGAGAGATTTATTTGTCATACCCACCACACGTGGTACATGAGGTCAAGTCAAGTCATCTTTATTTGTAGAGCACAATTTAAAACAGATAAACTGTTATCAAAGTGCTTAACAGAAATGTAGCAAAACATAGGCAGCAAAACAAAAACATCATACAGAATTAAAATTACTGGAACAATAACACACACTAATGATCACACTAAGGAAAAACAAGCAGTAAAAATAAACGTCAATCATAAAACAACAGAATTTAAAATGCGGTAACACAGAACAAAATAAACTAACTCACACAGTATTAAACGCCAGAGCAAACAGGTGCGTTTTAAGGAGGGATTTGAACATCAGGAGGGAGGAGGCCTGCCTGATGTTGAGGGGCAGGTTGTTCCACAGGTTGGGACCTCTGACTGAAAAAGCTCGATCCCCTCGGAGCTTCAGGCGTGATTTTGGAACGACCAAAAGAAGCTGGTCCGATGATCTCAGGGCCCGAGACGGAACAGGTGGGACGAAACTATGTACAAAGGGTCCCAGTTGTGTCCCCCACCTTGAAAAAATATTAATTTGGACATCCCCACATTTCCATGAAACATTAGATTACCTAGCACTGTTGGTATTTCTTCATGAACAAATCCATTAAACTTGATTACAGTATCAGGAGAATAGTCAAACCAGTAAAAGTCCACTCCAGGTTTTCCTGGTTACCAACAACAACTCACCACACCGCGTGCAGTGTTTCTCTGAGGTCACTTGGTTTGACAGTGTGCTCATGGGACGTAAAGAGGGGGAGACACCTCTGTGTTGCGCACTAGCTTAACGCTACATTAGTGCCAGCAGTTGTTGACCGGAGGGGAAGTGGGGGATAGGACGCGTGAGAGAAGTGAAGTGCTACGTCTGTAACATCTTAGCTAGCGTGTCTGTATTGCAAGCCGCTAGCTTAGCGCTACATTAGTGCCAGCAGTTGTCGACTAAGGTGGGGGTGGGTGTTAGGAGCGGAGCGTGCTCTATTCACACAAGGAGAGCTGTTGGTCAGGCTACTTCTCGTTGTGCCGTGCTCTCTAAAATAGTTATTTAATCAAGTGTTTACTTATGCAGGTAAACAAAGATGTTTAACAACCTGTTAAAATACATCAGAAAGTAGGAAATGGCATCGACTTTATTTAAAATTTTATGGGGGAGGACCCCCAGACCCCAAGATCAAAATTGCGATGGAGAAAAAAAAAATACTACTAAATAGCAATTAAGTGGGGTAGTGTATTAATTCCCCTACTATAACTGTACTGCATTTGTCCTGAATGTACACATGGTTTATTCCTCTGTTAAGCCCGGGTGTGTGCGTGTGTGCATAGAAAAGCTTTTACGTGTTTTCAAAGACTTTCGTTGTTTTTCATCATTGGACTCCGTTATTACTCGTCTGCCTTGTTGTTTTCAACACAAAGTAAATAATGACTACAGGACTCCACGACATGCAGAAATGTCCTGACAGTAAGTATCATTCACAGCAGATCTGAACAGGGGCATGTGCAAAATGTAAAAAGCTCATCTCTGTAGAAAAATAACCCTCATTTGCAACATGCAGCAGAAAGCTTGTAGCTTATATTAACAGCCGCGTCCTCACAAACTGTACGAGCTGTCAAAAAACCTGAGCTTTAGCATGCATCAGGAGACACAGTGCTTTTGCTGCATCACGTCAGCTCCAGCAAACGGGTTCCATTTTCATTTACTCAAAGAATGACGTGTGCTGTCATTTTGAGCCAAATTCACACTCTCTGACAGTATGGAGACAAATGCTCCTGCAATCATCACCCACTCGTATCTCTGCTGAGGACAAGACAGGATTATTTCTTCACCAGCACCATCCTGTGGCTGCGCAGGAAAGATGGAAGAACAATTATTTAAACTGTCTCAAGTGGATCGCTGGTTCTTTCATATAAAAATTCTTACAGAAACTGCCTGATCAAAGCCAAAGCAACGCATTTAGATTCCATAATATGGACACGGACATGTTATGTGTCTGAGTTTATATCATGTGTTCCTACAACAAGAAAAAAAGAGCATTTTCCTTGTTATTCTCTGAACAGTCATTCACAGCTTGGTTGTAGGATGTTTGTGGAACGGAGTCTGACCTGGCGCTGGATCACCTCCTCTGAGACATCTTCGCCTTTTAGCATCGTCTCCATTGCTCCCAGGATGATCAGCATGCGACTCAGCCCTGTGGCTGCTGAAAACTGCCTGATCTGGAGGGAGGGCAGCAGCTTCCCATACCTGGAGAGAAAAAAGACACAATAAATACAAGCAGGGCAGTAACTACTGATGTTCTTTATGTGAAGACATGCTTCTGTCCATCTGGTGTTGAATTTATTTGGTCCTTTCACAAAGTTTAGCTGAATACTCTGACAGACAACGTACAGTCACTTATTATGGTTATTCAGCTGTTATAGAATCAATGCAGAAGAGATTTTTTTATTTTGGTCTGCAGATTCAAAACAAAGTAAATTGAATATGTGTAAAAAAAAAAAAGGCTTAGTGTTCCTTGGAGGAATGCACATCACCCGCTGCATTTCATGCTAAACCGTTTTAGACCAAGATCATCTCATGTCGAGAAATGATGGAAATGGGTCAAACTTAGAAAATAACAATAAATGTAAGTTTATGTAATATCACATAATGTGTTAGTCGTTGGAGTGTGTTCTGACTGTCGTCTACTACAACACTGAACGTTAGCTCAATATCCATAAAATTCACAAAGCCGTAGCGGTTCTGTCTTGCTGTAGCAACCATCTAAACTTGTGTCAACTCCAAACGGTATGCAGCTGTAAATGTTCATCCGATTAATATTTTTCTATTTCATTAAAACAGTTCAATGAACAAGATATTTTGCTATGTAAACAAGTGAACCCACACTCACAAGCTTTTATTTTTATCCCTAATAAGACATTGTATTGACTTCCATTCATTACTGTACCTTAACCCTGATCCCTACTCTAAACCTAACACTAAAGAAAGGTTCCAGTATATTAACACTACGCTTTGTTCCACATAAATACTACTAGTCTAGACAAGTCAGGTGATTATACTTGAAAATGTCCCAAAATCTAACATGAAACGGGTAAAAAAAAAAATCCACATACACAAACATGCACAAAGGTAGACTGCAGAATAAATAAATTAAACTCCCCACCAGTAACTCCCATCAATTCACACCAGCATGTTGATATTTGTAGCTTTTACTGAATCTGCTCTAGTTCCCTTCAATAATTACCAAAATAATTTATTAAGTTGGTGGTTGGTTGCTTTTTTACTCATTTAAACTGAAAGAGCTGCCAACAATCTCATTCACATGTTTTTTTTTTCCTGACAATGAATTCAAAGTTTCTTAGAAGAAAAAAAAAACTAAACTAAATTGCCCATAGGTTGATGAATCCTTTTTGGGGGCAGAGGAGAGAAGAAGAGCGGTGGGACTTTGTAACTCAGGAGGCCCAATCGGTCTCAGCTCACTGGTGCTCTGAATTGGCTGGTCTCAGCCTGTGGAGCCCGATCAATAGGACCGCACACCTGCTGCCGACACGGCCCGACCCGACTCGCAGCCAGCGCACGGTAGATCCGAGCTCCACGCACGCCGAGAACCTCATCTTCACAGATCCATCCAGATCTGAGCCTTTCACCTCGTGCTGTTTCTTCTGATGAAACACCAGCAATCAAAAATCACATCTTTCTTTTGAATCCTAGAAGTAAAGTTTAAGTCTTATTCATTTGCAGCTAAAACATTCAGATTTAGAGACAATGAGCTAAAGTGTGATGTCACCCCGGTCTAAAGCCATCACATTTAGAGCTTGCATGAGATCTCATCAATTACAAGGTTTGACTAAAACCTCGTACCTCTGCTCATAGGCGTCGCATCAATTATATGTGAAGGGGACCGTCTTCCCCACATTTAAAAATATGAATTTGGACCCCCCTCTCCCACATTTACCATGAAACATTAGTTCACCCAGCGCTGTTTTTATTTCTTCGTGACTGAATCCATTCCACTTAATTAATAGGAGAATACTCAAACTACTAAAAATCTACTCCGAGTTTTCCTGGTGATCTACAACAACTCACCACACAGCATGCAGAGTTTGTCCTTGGTCATCTGCTTTGGCAGGATGCTCACGGGGGGAGGAGGGGGAGACACCTCTGTGTTGCACGCTAGCTTAGCGCCACATTAGTGCTGGCAGTTGTTGTCAGGGTTGGGGGGTTAGGATGTGTGAGAGAAGCGGAGCGCTACGTCTGTAGCATCTTAGCTAACGCTCTGTATTATGCACCGCTAGCTTAACACTATGTTAGTTCCAGCAGTTTTCGATGTGGCGGGGGGGATGGGCGTAGGATGCTTGAGAGAAGCGGAGCGTGCTCTGTTCACACAAGGAGAACTGTTGGTCAGGTTACTTCTTGTTGCTCTCTAAAATAGTTATTGAATCAAGCGTTTACTTATGTAGGTAAACGTAGGTGTTTAACAACCTGTGAAAATACACCAGAATGCAGGAAATGGCATCTACTTTATTTAAAATTCCACTACCCCCCAAACCCCAGTGTGTCTTACACACACACACACACACACACACACACAGACATTACAAATGCTTCTGACGCCAGTGCCTCCGCCTCTTCTCAGCCTGAGTTGATCTTAGTGTAAAACTTTGTGACGGGCGATATGCATTCCTTCAAGGAATCCTGGGCCCTTAATAAAGCATTTGATTTGATGATCCACCATACAGTTGAGCGTTAAGCACTTCAGATGTTCATATCACAGCACCAGCCTGCTGCGCAGCTTACCACAGAAAACTATTTTCCAGTAGGAAGACTTCAGCACTTCTTCCTTGCTTTTATGTGGCTCATATCAAACCAGCATCTCAAACGTGCACTTCTTCAGGTGTAAAGTAACACATTTCACGTTATGGCTGATATGACATGTTGCTACACACACAACTCAGCTACTGATTGGTCAGATAAAGCTGATAAGAATCGTGGAGAATGAGCGTTTCACGGCCAAAAACAGCAGATAACATATCTGCAATACACATGGTGGGGGAAAAAATGGTCCCAGTAATAGATACAGGCAGAGAGGAAAATGAAACAAGCATGCCGTTCTAATTCTCAGTCTTCAGAAGAAAACTTTTTTTGTATCAGACCTCTGGAGAGTGACGTTTTGACATTTTCATCTTCCCTGCCACAGTTTTCCCTCAGAAGTCATTCTGGTACCACAATTTAGAGCCGACTCTCCGACCTGACTGACTTCTTCGTCTCTGCACATTTTCCACCTGTCACCCTTTTCCTACAACTTGCTTCCAAAATATAAAGGGCAGGGGAAACTCTCTCCCTATCAGCCGCCCAGTTCCAATCTTGTTCAATCATTCCTGAGTCTGGCATTCAACATTATTTCAAGGATTCTCCAAGCCACCTGTCCTATTCCCTCCTATTTTTTTCCATTTTTAATTCTGCCCCTGAGTGAGGATTATGCGAAGCAAGGCATGCGTGTCAAAGGGAAATTTAGTGGGTAAAGACAGCCAAGATTGGTGGGATGAATTAAACAGATAACGGGAGGAGACGAAGTGGGGGAACCATGTAGAGCAAAACGCCTCACCGATGTTGGTCATTTCAGAGGGACTCTTTTTTTTCCCCCCTCCCCACAGGAGCGAGGAGGCAATATCTAAATTAATAAAGTGATGAAATGAGTTTGTGCCACGGACTTTCTGCTGTTTGACTTTCCCATCTGGATTAGTGCAGGCTGAATGGACGCTCTGTTACTTTTGTTACAACTACGCAATTCACTGTCGAAATTTGGCCCCGTAGCGATAAGGCTCCCCTCCTCCTCTCCCTCATTACCATCTCCTTCCATATGCAGGGCCTCTGTTACCTGAGAGCTTGCTCACACACTAAACATGAACCATTACACGAGCGTCTGCCAACTATTACAACGAGCAAAGAACACTTAAACATGGACTAATACATGAGGCTCAACTAACTATTACACAAAAGAAGCTGTTTTTTTTTTTTGTTTTTATGTCAGAGAACAATAGAGAAAAGCTAGAGACGCTAACAGCAACACAACGTGGTGTTTTACTTCAAGCTTCTCAGTGTTCACTAAATAAATTAAACTGTCTCTGATTGGAATAAAAGTTACTTGTGACATTCAGGATTATTTCACCTGAATTTCATGTTTACCAGTACGCATTTTAAATGTTTACAGTAATATTTGTTTACAAGAGATAAAAGTAAAATAATTATCTTCTCGACTCGTTTGCAACAGAACATTTCAGACTGTGGGAATAAACTCCACTTTTTCAACGACAGCCACACAAGTGTCAGAGCAGACTTTGTGGCTCGTCTTTCCTCTAAACCAGAGGTGGATAACATTAGTTTCCCAAAAGGCCAAATCAAGATATTTAAAGAAAACAAAGGGCCGCATAGAAAATTGGAAAATGTTATTTTTAAGACAGATAATAGGGAAGACTTATTTTTCAGGCTTTTGTTGTTGTAGCATAGTTAGCATGCTTGATTAAAAATATGCCTCCTCGATACTGTTCAGCAGGGTGGCATGGTGGCTCAGTTGGTAGAGCTGTTCCCTCTCAGCGAGAAGGTTGCCAGTTCAAATCCGGATCTGGGATCTATCTGGGTGGAGTTTGCATGTTCTCTCTGAGCATGCGTGGGTTTTCTCCAGGTACTCCGGTTTCCTCCCACAGACCAAAAACATGCATGTTAGACTGATTGGTAACTCTAAACTGTCTCTAGGTGTGAGTGAGAGAGTGAATGGTTGTTTGTCTCCATGTGTCCCTGTGATGGACTGGAGACCAGTCCAGGGTGTCCTCTGCCTCTCACACAGTGACTGCTGGATATGGGCACCAGTGACCCCAGCAACCCATAAAGGAAGAAAAGGGTAAAAGATGATGGATGGATGGATGGATGGATGGATGGATGGATGGATGGATGGATGGATGGATGGATGGATGGATGGATGGATGGATACTCTTTAGCAATATAGGACATTTTCTGTAAAATGGCTCTTGTGACAATATATTATCCTAAATGTATTTATTTAGTTATTAATTTATTTAAAAGAAATAAAAGAAACAAAACAAATTCATAAAAAAGGGAAAAAAACTGAATGAAAAGAGTGCAGAAAGAAGAAGAAATTATTATATCTGTCCATTATT